GCTCTTCCACCTCCGAGGCGATGAAGGTCTCCTTGTCACCACTTTCTACTTTGATGAGCCGGATCTTCAGCTCCTTGGGGGGCCCTTCACTAAGTGAGCGCAGCTTCAGCATGTCAGCCCGGCTGACACCCAGTGGCCCCGGAGCTTCCTCCCGAGCCTTCTTCCCAGGGACAGGGGCTGCCGGGGGTGTGGGCTGGACAGAGGGTGCAGGAGCTGGCGGAGGGCCCGGAGCTACAGGCGGCTTGGCCTTGGAGGCCCCGCCCAGATCCGGCCGGGCCTTCTCACGACCCTGGATCTCCTCGCTCTGCAGGTCCAGGTTCCCCAGCACTCGGCGGCTCTTTTCTTTGGGGGCCTTGGCCTTGGCCTTGGCCCTGCCCTCCCGGGGCCGCCGACCCACACTGTCCTTACAGGCCCGCCGGTGCCGCCGGTGCTCCTTCTGCCGCCGCTTGCTGCTCCCCGGTCGTGCCGTGGCCGCCACCCCACCGCTCTCCTCCTTGGCCTGAGCTGGGGGCTGCAGTCGCTCAGTCCCGCTGTCCGCTCGATCTCCCGTGTCCACTGGGTCGGCCGGGTCTGCGGTGCTCCGGCCCACCCGCTCCACAAGGGTCTCACAGGCCCGACTTATCTCTTCTAGCACCTCAGACTCAGAACGAGCAGGGGGCAGCGGCAGGGGTGGGGGCGGGGGGGCGGGGGTCATGGGGCCCGGGGCTGGCTCTTCGCCCGCCCTGCGCTCCCGGGCCCAGGGCCCGCCTGAGGTAGAGAACTGAGATGACGAGGAAGCGGAGGGCTGTGGGGAGCCCTGGGCGCTCAGGGCCACGGAGGTGGGCGGTGGGGCGGTAGCACCTGAAGAGGAACTGGGGGAATACTGAGTGGTGGGCAAGGGCCCAGGCCGGGTGGGAACAGCTGCTCCAGTCCCCCGGTAACAGTACTTTTGTCCTTCCAGCACGGAGGCCAAGGACTTGAGCAAGTTGGCCGGGCTGGCTGGTGGGGCTCGCGCAGTTGGCGGTGGCTGGGGTGGTGGCGGGAACTTGGCTAGAGGCGGCGGTGGTGGCAGGGCTGGTGGTGGCTTCTTCTCCTCTTCCTGGGTGGCCGGGGTGGTGGCGGCGGCGGCGGTGGCAGCAGTGGTGGCTGGGGCTGTGTCAGTGGGGAATGGAGGCTGCAGAGATGTAAAGGGCTCCTTCAGAGGAGGCGGGGGGACCACACCTGCCTCGTGTCGTTGCTGCTCCTCCTCCTTGCGAATGGATTCATCCAGCATCTTCATGATGTTGGCCAGCCCATCAGGTAGGATCTTGAATTCAGCTGGCTCCTCAAACTGGTCCTCCAGTGGGGTAGGGGGGAAATCAAAGAGTCGAGGGCCTCGGGCAGGCAGCTCCCCAACCCTGGGCGGCACAGGCTGGGGGGCTTTATTCAGGGGGCCTGGGGGTGGCCCCGGCCCCCCCTCGGGGGTCTTTGGGAAGGAGACCCTGGGCTGAGGGCTCTCCGGGTGCCTGAAGCTTCCTGAGGTATTCTGGTGGCAAGAGGAGGGAGGGGCTGGAGGCAGGGCAAGAGTCAGGGGTGCAAGAGGTGGGTCCTGGGGGCTCAGTGTTGGGCTGGGGGGCCGGGGAAGGGGGTCCATACTTCTGGCCAGATAGGAAGGGGTAGGGAGGACACAGGCCCAGTAGGGCTGCTGCTGTGGCTGCCACTGTTGCTGCTGCTGGTGGTTGGGGGAGCGGGAGGGGTGTGCGAATCCTGAGTGCCCACAGAAAAGCGGGGGGCCGGAGGTCCCAAGAAGCCCTCGCGGTGGGGGAGGGGTGGCGGGGGAGGGCGGGGGCGTCCCTCAGCCCCGAAGAAGAGCTCATCTAAGATCTCTCCATCCTCACGGGCTGCTCGGCAGGCTGGGCCCTTCAGCCAGGCAGGGGGCGGTGGAGGGCGTAAGAGGCGGGGACAAGGAGGGGGAGGAGGTGAGGAGGGGCCGGGTGGCAGGGACAGGTGGGGAGTGGCAGCGGGAGCCGCCAGGAATGGTTTCCGACTACTGTGTGCTGAGGGCCCAAGGCGGCCTTGGTGAGAGGAGACCTCCAGCGCGGGAGTTTGGTAATGGTCAGCACCGGGCTGCAAGTGTAGGACGGCGGTGGTCAGAGGGCTGCTCCAGCCACCCTAGACCAGCTCCACTCATCCCCCCCACCGCTCCGCCCGCCACCTGCAGTTGTCACTCACAATGCCTGGGCTCAGCTCCACGCCCCGGAGACCAGGGTTGCTGCTGCTGCTACTGCTGCTGGTGGTGGTGCCGGGGGGGCCAGGGGGCCGGGAAGGGGCGTAAGGCACGCAGGCGGTGGTTGCTGCTGGTGAAACGCTGGAGTCCATCCGCGACCTCTGAACTCTGCTCTCTCTAAGGTCACTTCCGGGGGGACGGGTGGCAAGCGGGCAGCCATGGCTCTCTGCTCCTGGGGGGCGGGGGCCTGGGGGTGCAGCCGGGACCAGCCGGTGGCCGGGGGGGTGCACAGGGTAGGCTGGAGCTGGGTATGGATATGGGTGAGGCAGCGAGTGCCGCTGCTCCTGTGGGCGAGAAATGAGGACACTGCGTGAGGAACGAAGGACACAGGGGCTGGAGGTAAGAGGTGAGGGGGCCACAGAGAGGTGCTCACCTGGCGCTCTGGGGGTGCTGAACCCTTGCGCTCGGGGCCCCATGCATCTCCATGCGGGGTACTCCACAGCCCTGGCTTGGTCAGCTGGAATGGAGGGCTGGTGGCTAGGCCAGGCGGGGGTGGGGCTGGGGGTAATGGTGGTGGAGGCAGTGGCAGCCCTGGGGGAAGGCCAGTCTGGAAGAAAACAGAGTGTGAGAGTCCCACTCCTCGCCCCAGCCTACCCACTCGCTGCTGGCCCACCCACATACAATCATACCTGCTCAGAGTTGCAGCCTCTCCTGCGTTTGCCTCCAGGGCTGAGGCCCTCCTCCCCCGAGGGGCCTGAGAGTGCTGCAGGAGGCACAGGCTGCACCACCGGGGGTTCGGCGGCTCGCTTCACGGGGGGACCCCCCCGCTTGGCCCCATAGTTCCGTTTGTGCTGAGGACGGAAACAGGAGAGAGAATGGCACCGGTGCAGACCTGGCCCAGCCCTCCTCCCTAGCCCGCCCAGTCCCAGCCTCACCTCAAGGTGCAACAAGTTCCACACTTGCTCCAGGGGAGGCAGGACCTTGGGTCGGTGCTGGCAGGAGCCGGCATGAAAGTTCCAGAGCTGGGCCTGAGGAGGTGGGGGAAGAGTGCAGAGCACAGGGCAGAGGCAGATGTAAGACGAGGGCACTGGGTCAGAACGCACAATCCTAGCCCCCTGTGTCCTGCCTCATCCCACCTGCTGTAGTCGGCCGACGCGGGGCCCCAGCTCAGCCAAGCTTCCTCCGTATCGAAGGGCGCTGTGGTAGCAGCGTATAGCCTCCTCACTGTCGTGCTCTGACTCGTACAGCTGCCCAAGCTGCTCCCACAGCCCTGGCTGGGCCGGCTCCCGGAGCAATGCCTGCACACAGCCATGCAGGGATTCCAGCTTCCCATGGAGGGGTCTTGGGGTGGGTGTCCTACAGAGCAGAAGGGGTGGGGAGGTGGCAAGGCTTGGCGAACTCTTTCAAGGCCCCAGCCTTACCTCCCATCCCCAGCACCTTTTAATCCTCACTCACCCTGGAGCATAATACGGTTTGTTGGGGTGGCCAGAGCTACTGCCGTGTGAAGGAGGTAGGGGAGCAGGGAGTGGGGGCTGCCCGATGCTGGCAGAGCACCTGGAGAGAGAAGGGCTCTGTTAATGTACAGCAAGATGGAAGTCTTGTCCCTACCTAGGAAGGAGGGGACTGAGGAAACAAGAGAAAGCAGCTGAGGACTGCACTGAGGCCCACGGGATGGCAGAAATGAGAGTGACACAGAGACTGAGGAGCAGAGATGGGAAGAGGAGTGCCTGGAGGCAGAGAGACAGACCAAGTTCTCACCTGCCTCCAGGCAGCCATGCGCTCCGAGGAGGGGGATGGGGCGGGCAGGAGCTCCAGGCCCCAGCACAGCTCAAGCCCCCAAGGGCAAAGGCTTCCCGTGCAGCGCGGGCCCCTGCAGGGTCCACTGCCCGATGCATCCAGCCTGAGTCAAGGAGAAGAGATTATGATCCTACTGGGAACAGAGGCTGAGCTGTCAGGGTACACACAGCCGACCCGGCCCCAGTCTTCCCTTACCAGGTCAGCAGTGGCCCCAGAGATCGGGCACGGCCCCCTGCCCCAGCTCCTTGGGGCGATGGTCCGGCTCCAGCCGCTCTGACAGGAGTGCCCACTGCCCCCAGATGGTCGCCCAGGGCCTTTCACAGCCAATTCTACGGAGAGGAGGGGGAAAGGAGTAAGGTGAGCAGGCCAGCACACAGTCGGGGCCGCAGGCTGGGCTGGGCTGGGCTGGCCTGGGCTGGCCTGGCTGTGGCGCCCACAGGTCTGTGATCTGCGCAGGGCTGGCTATCCCTGAGGAGCGGCCCACCCGGCCTAAGGAGCCTCAGGGGAGTGGGGGCAGCGGGAGGGCCAGTCGGTGAGATGGGGTGGCTGCGCTGCTAGGCTTCCAGCCGGGAGCCCCGCGGGCCGAGCTGCAGCGATGCGGCCGCTTACCCGGCCTCCGTGGGAGCTTTCTCTCCCGGCGTCGGCGAGCTCCGGAGACCTGACCAATCACAGGACTTCCTCTCTCCCCAGAAAGCCAATCATCACCCGTGTCTCCGCCTCAGTAACAGCCTGGCCGGGACCAATAGGAGCGAGGTTAGCCCGGCCGCTGCCGGGGGAGGAGGGGCGGCGGAGCCGGTCAGACAGGCTCTGCCCGGGGTGACCCCGACGTGACCCCGCGGCTCCCACCTAGGGTCTCCATCTCCAAGCTGACACTAGGCCGGTCGAGGCAAGCGGAGCCTGAAACCCGTGCGGGTGAAGGCGGCGGGTCGCACGTTCGGGCCGGCCTGGGGCATAGAGCTACCCGCAAGTCCCACGCGCCCACAGAGCCGCCGGTGGTCCGCGCTAGACCGCCCGAAACGCCCCCGACCCCGCCGCCTAACACCGACGGACAGCAGACGGATGCACAACGCCGACACAGGCGGCGCTCCCCCTCCCTCACTTCACCTCGCCCAGTGCCTGACCTCCCCACCCCCTAGGAACTGTTTAGGGCTGGCCACTCACGGCGACTTCTAGGGCACCCAAACCTGCCCGCGCCGCGATATGAGCGCTCCACTCACCACGCCTGACCCCCATCCCAAACCATGGTCAAGCCCCCAGCTTCATACCCAGTTCCTTCAGCTCCTCCACTTCCCCTGGCTCTGTAGGCCTTCAATACCAACCGACCCCCAAAACCAAAACCGTCCTCTAATCCCCCAACTTCTGAGAAGTCGCGCACAGCGGTCCCGAGTGGCCCCTCTCGCGTGGCTCCAGTATCCTCTATGCCCTTCCCCGCCGGGGCCACGCGGCTCCCCACGGCCCACGTGGCCCCCGCCCCCCAAGGGAGGGGGGATTTCGGGGAAAACAAAAAAACCTAAAGTAGTGAGTAGGGTAAGGTAGTTGGTCAAATCTGCCCTTAACAAATCAATAGATGGTGAGTTTTTAAAATGTGAAGAATCTGGAAACATTTTCCTTAGGTGAGTTTATCTAAACGTTGGTCACCAGAATATTAGCTTACTCCACAACTGGGCTGTTTCCTGTTTGATAGCTGGCAGAGGAGTGAGCCCTCTTATGAGTGAATTTCCGGCATCGTCTGTTGAAATCCTTTTCATCCTCTGAGGTCCATTTCCAAAGCCACCTGCGCAATTGGAATGATTTGCTCTCTTACGCACACATGACTCTTGCTTGATGGTACTAGTCATTGTGCCCCCCCCCAACCCCTTCCCGTCGGTGCTGGCTCGACCCACGACGGGAGCAGCGCTCCCCTTCCTGGGCACCTTCCCTTTAGCCCCAGTTCTTCCTTCTCGCCTCTCTGAGCCCAGGATCTCGGTCCCCGCGCGTCCTGCTCGCCTACCCCGCGTCCCCGCAGGTAGGAAGCCGGCTCCGCTCCCGGGATCGGTCCATTGAGAGTCTAGAGTACAAAGAGCTGCGAGAGGCGAGTGTAGAGTACAAAGCGGCGGGGGCGGGGCCAGCGCTCCAGCTGGAGCTAGCGCCGGGCAGGAAGCCGGGGGAGAACGCGCGACGAGGGGCTGGGGGCGGCTGGAAAGTTCGCCTTCGCCGAGAGAAGTCTGAGCTGTGGGGAAATTTCCACCCAGCCCACAAGGGCATTCGGATTTCTGGTGAAAACAGTCCTCGATCTGCAGGGCAAGGTCGTCTGTTTGCACGCAAGCGCTTGGACCCTACAGGTCCCGGCGTGCCACTCCCCGGCGAGCCCTAGTAAGGCGCTTGGGCTCTACGGACCCTCTCCGCGGTTCACGCGGAGTTTCGGTCAGCACTCTCTCTCCTCACCATACAGCCTTTATGTCAGTTACCAAGCCCTGGGCCAAGTACAGCGCTTAACTGCGGTCAAGCATAGCCCTGGCTGGCTGCCCTCACCTAAGTCCCGGGACCCATGGACCAGACATGGGAAAACGGGGAACCCGGGGTCCAGACATCAGAGGAACAGATCCCCGATTGGGAAGTGGTGCCGAGGGCGCTGCCAGTTACCAGGAAATGCAGCTTCCCCTTCTGCGATGTTGACACTTCCCCTCTACCACTTCCCCTTTCCCACGGGGAACTGACTCAGCTTTCCCTAAAACAGCGAGTCCCGTCGGCCAGCCCCTTTCCACCTCTATCCACAAACCCCTACGCCGGTACTCGGAATACAGCAGCCCTCACTTGAGAACAAAAACTTCCTGTACACTAAACACACACTCACTCTCGCCAACCACCTCGGATCCTTGTCCCCACCAGGGACCCAGGCGCCTGACTTCCCATCCGCCTCCTGTACAAAGCCCTCCCTCGGGGTCTGATTCAGGCTTGGGGTGGGGGAGCGTGAGTCACCCAGAAAACCTTCCCCCATTCCCACTGACTCAGCCCCCGCCTCCCTGAACACACACAGACACACACAGTCAGAGGCAGACACAACTCAGCCCACACACCGCTCCCCACCGGTCCCGCGGAATTTCCCCTCCCGTCTTCCCCCATGACGGCCCCTCCCCGCGCCGGGCAGCCCCGACGCCGCGGTCACACCTGTTCCCCAGGCGCCAGCAGCCGGCTCGCGGTCCACTCTCACCTCCACTCTCGCTTTGGGGCAGGAATAGCCCTCCCCGACTCTTGGCGTCCGTACTAACCCAGGGGAGGGGACAATCACCGGCAGGCACAAAGACAGACACCCAGAGACCCCTCAAAGACAGATGAGCGGTAGACGCACACGGCCAAAGAGGACGGTATACTTCTGGGGCAGGCATTCCAGCCTCTCCAGTCGGACCCACAGTACTGGGAGTCAGCCGCTCAGAAAGGGTTAATTCTTCTCCTGCCGAGGCCACGCCCTCTCCATCCGGGCACTCCCGACTAAGCCCAGCTCCGCCCCCTCCATCCGGGCTCTGGACTCGGGGACTTTAACCGGCCCCCCTCCCCCTAGCGCCCCGAGAGGGACCCACTCTATCAAACACACCCCCTTAACTCTCTCTGGGCTCCAGGCCGGAGGAGCCCCTCGGCACACCGCTCCCGCCGCGCGGGATGAGGGTCCAGACGTGAGCACGCAGATTCACGTGCCGGCCAAAGACAAGACCCCGCAATTAGGGTATTACCGAGCAGGGAGTTAGCAGGCACGCGGCACGCGCGAGGAGGTGGGGCCGGCCCGGAACCCCGCCGCGTCCCGCTCCCTGTCAGGCTCCTTTCTGCCAGGTGGAAGCGAGGGGTTACAGCTCGCTTCTTACCTGGGGGAGGGGGAGGCGTAGGGGAGGGCCGCCGGCTGGGGCTCCGCTCTGACTCAGCCACCCCGGGCAGGCCGCCCGCTCGGGATTCCCTTCCCCAGCCTTCCCCCGCTGCTGGCCCCTCCCCGCCCCCCACCAAGAAGTGACAGTGCCGGCCCTGGCCCGCTATGTGTCACTGCGAGCCTTGTGTCTGCCTCTGACTGGACCGCTGTGTTCACCAGTCTCTCTGACAAGGTCGGCTGTGTATGAGTCCCGGTGTCTGTCTCCGTGTGCACCTGCATATCTGCTCATCTTGTCTCCTTCAGTGCCTGTGTCTGATGCGTTCCTGTCATTATGCCTGTCTACACGACTCCGAGGGGCTGTCTCTGTCTGTGTGTCTGCCTGGCTCCTGTCTCGGTCTTTTGTCTGGGACTGCCTCTGCATCACTTGCCGTGATCACGTGTGTCTCTCTGCACATGCCCTTCTGTGTTTGCCTTCATGTTCCTGAACAGAGTCAGGGAAATACTGGAGCAGGCTGACCCGGCAGACTCCTCGCCCCACTCCCCTGAATCCTGATGTCTTACTGGATCAGTGATCCTTCTGTTTGAGTCAAGCATTTGGAGGTCTGGGTGCCTTGATTTAACTTCTGTCCTATTCCTCAACATCCTCACTTATCCTCACAGCTCCCTGTGGCTCCCATTGTGATGGTAATTGCTAGCATTTAGTGAATACTTATAACATGCCAGGTACTGTGTTAAGCACTTTATATACATTTTTAAAAACTCCTCTCCAGAACCTGACCTAGTACTACCCCATTTTACAGATGAGGTAATTGAGGCTCAGAAAGGTTATATAACTCTGTCAAGGTCATTCCACAAGAGCGAGTAAGAGCTAGGCTTCTTTCCAGAGCCTTAGTCTTACCACTCTTCTATAATGCCTCTGTACTATTCGCTGTTGGTTTTATCCTCACAGGACATTTCCTAGGTCAGCCTGCCCCTCAGCTCTCCCCCACAGTACCATCCCAAATGTCTATGTCTTTAGAGAAGGTGTAGGTAGGAGGCTGTGCAGCATTTCTCAGAAGCCATTGGTTTCTTGGCCCTGAAGCTCATTCAGTTAACACATTCATTCAACGCAATTCCACTGAGGCACCCCAATGTGCAAACCATCTCGCCAAATAGAGATGCATAGAAGAAAACAGTCCCACTCAAAACTTAGTGAGAAGTGGAGAAAAGCAACACACACTCAGAGAACTTAAGTCTCTGGCTTAGGTACCATCTTTTCTCCTA